TTTTTTTTTTTTTTTTTTTTTTTTTTTTTTTTTTTTTTTTTTTTTTTTTTTTTTTTTTTTTTGCCCTAGTTAATGCCCCTTATAGTTAAATGCTTGTGCATTTTGGGAATGGAAAGTTTTCAAATAATTGGAATGAAAACGTTGAGGAAATTATGTATTTGCATTAATTAATTTCATATAATATATATTTATTAGATAAAAAAATTTCGTCTCATAATTTAAAAAATGCGTATACTAAAGAAAAATTTATATATGTCTATAATAAATTCTCACACAATAAAATAATTACATTATTATTATTATTATTATTCTTACTTGACTTAACTAAAATTATATTTTAATGGTTTGGAGTAAGGTTAAAATAATGGATGAATATTTGATAATTAAAAAGAAAAAGAGGGAGGGGTAAAAGTGTAAATAGAATAGAGTGGATGGGTAGAAAGGGAAAATGGTAAGAAAACAATAATTGAAGAAAGGATTGACGATGGCGATGATACACAGAGCTGGAAAAAACAGCTTTTGTTGTTCCCGTTATGTAAAGTCGTCTCCATATCACCAAATTCCGCCCTCTGCCCCTAATGGTCCTCTCTCTCTCTCTCTCTCTCTCTCTCTCTCTCTATTTTTAGTTATTTTTATATTTCTATTTCTATTTTTTTTTAATTTATGACTATTTAGTTATTAAATTATAAAAAATGAGAGCTTAATGATTTATTATATATTTTTCTAAAGTACGTGGACCCAACCAACGTAATCTTTAAATTGAGGGCTAAACCTGTAATTTAAACTTAATTAGAGATGGATTTGACGAGCAACTTTGTTACTGACCATGTGTCACCTTATTTGTTTACCAGGGTGAAAACTATCTCTAAAGGTTAATGCCAGTCATTTGTTCTCTTTCAGTGTGTCTCTTAATCACAAAAGGACGATCCATCTAAAGAGGGACTCACATTTGATCAGCTAGTTGGTAAGACAATAGCTTACCAAGATAATGATCAGTAGCTGGTTCAAAAGGATGATTAGCCACGCTGAGACTGAGACACGACCCATACTCCTATAGCAGGCAACAGTGAGGAATTTTTCGCAATGGGTAAAGGCTTGATAGAGCAATATCGTGTGGAGGTAGAAGAGCTACGGGTCGTAGACTTCTATTCCTAGAGAAGAAGCAATTATGGTATTTAGGGATGAAAGCTACTCAATAATATGAACCATTAGAGTTCTCGTTATCAAATCACTATAAATGAATGCCCACATTGTTAGTATATTCACCTCTGTTTGAGAGAGAGAACGAAACGTTGTTTATAGGTATATGAAAACTGTTTTTTTTTTCTATTTATTTATTTGTTAATAACAAATAATTGTAAGTGGTCCCTTGTCCAAGACAAAGAGATGCCGACAGAATTTACAAAATAATTTGTTATTTTAAGTAAAAAAAAAAAGAAAGAGATATATACATTTTAGTTCAAATAATATGACATGTCATGTCAGGTCTAATATATACATAAATAAATAAATAAATATATTTTTATTTATTAAATTGCTTAAATATTAATTTGACAATAAATCAATATTTTTAACGCTAATTTAAACGTAGTTTAATTGATTAAATAAATATAATCGGTTAAGAGGTTAGAAATTCAAATTCATCATCTCAACGTATTATCGATTAAGAAATTTTGATATATATATATATATATTATAGGAAAATAAATACATTTTTAATTTAATTTGAATATAGTTTTTATTATTTTATTTTATTTTATTCCCCAACGTATCACCATTTTGGTATAATTTAGAGAATATAAAAGGGCGGCAGCATAGTCTTAAAATTGGGATTTTAGTATGAGGGGGCGTTGCTTGGCGCGCACACGAAGACCGAGTCAAAGCTGCCATCGCCAAGCTGCCCAATTTCGCCACTTTCAATGGCGGACCCACGAGCATCACTGTCATCTCTATCTTCACCGCCGTCTTTGCTTCCCAATGATCAGCTACCCAGACGCTTCAAGGTCGTCTGGCGCGTTCTACTAATCTCCAATTTCGCCCTTTCAGGTTATTCTATAATCTCCGCCTTCTGCATTTTCGTTTTACTCGCATTCGTGATGGGGCGTCTTTTTTTTAATCCCAATGTTGATTGTTAACCTCCCCAGATCTTCGAACTTGAAATGATTCTGAGAGATGTGAAATGGAGTTTGTGATGGAAAAAAACTGTATGTTCAATGTTTTAGTTCTGGCACGCAAGGTGTTTGATGTAATGACTGAGTTGAATTTCTTTGTGTGGTTATGAGATATGTTGCTAATTGCTATTGCCGCGATTTCTTGGTGGAATATCCTTGTTTGTTCTGTCTAAATGCTTCTTTTTCGGCAAGATTGTTCCCCCAGTTCCAGCCACATTAGGTAAAGTGGACGCTTTCTTTTATTTGGAAATATCTGAGCTTACCTTCGCTGAGACATAATAAAGATGGTATTTATTGAGGGAAATGTATATGTACAAGCAGTCCTATTGAAGTTGTTATTCCCTGATCTTTATGTTTTAATTCAAAAGAGAAGATTGCTGAGAAAATGTGTCGATAATCTACCATGGCGTGATACTATAGCCACCATAGTGTTGTTGCATATGCATAGAAGTTAGCTAGTAAGAAATTGGTCTAAGTTATTTCTTAGTTCTTCCAGGTTCTGCACCTTCTATATGCTCCACTAATATTATTGAACTTCACTTGTTAGAGTTTGACTCTTAGCTACACACAGGTATTTCTTCTAAGATATGGGGTGATTTCTCTGTTTATGAGTGAGGGACATGCATTAGGATTTTCGAGTATGGTAAGCTTGAAAATTAAATTTGTGATATTCCACCGAAGATACCCAGGGCGTAGGAATGCTTGTTCAAAGTCGTGATCCTCCATTCCATTTCGAGAAATGTTTTCATTTCTATTTATAGAACATCTCAAATCAGATACATAACCAATTAATGATTCATGAAAGCCGTTTTTCTTTTAGATTGTGATATGTTCAATTCACATGTCTTACAAGTTCTTTTGAATTTTCAAATTAATGTTTGAGGGACCTTGCTTCAAGAGGAGAGAAAGAGGAAGATATAGTCTCTCCATATTCTCATTTAAGCAAGGTACAACCTTAGATGGTGCCTTTCTCATGTTGTCCATTGGCTCGAGTTAGACGAGAACTAGCTTATTGATGAGGAGATAACCAAGATCAGCTATTCAATTTTCATTTCCCGATGAACCAGGAAAGTTACAAGTCTTGAATCTGGATTCTAGCACCGTCCTTCATTGTTTCTCCTTGAAGCAGTCATAGTTCTCTTCTTTTCTTCCCAGTATTATTCTTTATCCAAGGGTATTTGCAGGGATTTTAAAACATCTCAATCTCCTTGCTCTGATTCCTTCCTTGTCATAATGATTTTTTTTTGTTGTCACTTCCTTTAGAAGTTATGCTTCCAGTTTCATTTTCAACGCGGTAACACGTTGTAAAGCTCTGGATATTGATCGGTGCATTCATTCTGTCTATGGAAAATCTTTTGAAATCTCTTCCTGAACTCTATGAAGAATATTCCATATCCGATTAGAATTTTTGAGACAGAAAGTAAATAACCTTGCGTATTTTATTCAATAGAGGCAAGGGCATATATATAGCCACTTAATGATACAACAGAATTATTACAAAGTACTAAATCTAATAAGAGTCTCCATTCCGAGAGTTTTCTGTTCAAATGCCAAGAGCAAGTTCTCCCGTTTCTTTTGTGGCCATATTTGCCCCTGCACTTTCATTTGCTTTGGGTCTATGCAGAAAAAGCTTTGATCTCAGATCTCTCATTCGAAAGAATTCAGAGGATTTTGAACGCAGACATTGTTATTGGTTCGATCGTTCGAGTCAGCTCATTTCAAAGCCTCTCTTTGGTTTTATTTACAAGATATATTCTAAATTGGAAAGCTTTTATCCTCTGTAACTTTATTTTCCAACTCCATTTGGAGTTCGTATTCAAAACTTTGTTTCTTGTTAAAAAAATTTCTAGAACTTCAGCAGGAGGAACAGTTACTGCTGCCACATGACAGCATTTAGTTGACTTTTAACTTCAGACATGTGTTTTCGACATTTACTGCTGCAACTGATGTGTATTCCTTACCTTGCAGCCTACATGTTTGCAAGTGCAAGGAAGAAAGACTTGGGGCAAATGGAGAATAATGAAGCAGAAAAAGATTTGGGTCAACTGGAAAATGATGGAATAGAAAAATGCAGTGATAGTGAAATAATGGAAATACCCTCAACGTTTATGGTGGATACCACTGGCATAGTTACAGAGAACATCTCGGAAGATCAGCACCAAAAACCATTCCACTGGATTGTTGATGGTTGGAGAGAAAAAACAGGTTCGAGTAAAAAATGAATTGGTAGGTTAGAAGCTGATTCTTGAACGGCTCAATGTTCATCCTCTCAAAACTGATTTGATTAGAGCTCATCCAGGTAAATACGTACGTGATTTCAGGAGACTGATTCTTGTAGTGAAACCTTCATTAACCCGGATATCTTCTTGTAGAACTTTTACAGATTTGATTAACTGTTTAATGGCGATTTAAGAGATAATCTCTGCTCTCTAAAGTTTGATTCAATGTTTGTATTTCATATTGATTAATTGGGCTGTTGTTCATAAACTAGTTGTATCTTGTGTTTTCTGTTATATATGTTGTATTTGACGCAATATCTACCGCCTAAAAGTGTGAATAGATATGAAAATATTATTACCCAACTGAGATAATACAGATTTAAGAATAAGAAATAGAATTGGGATTGAAGGTTCAATCTTAATTGATATTCACAACCTTTAAATAGATACAATATACGAACTAATACCTACTAATAAGAAAAATATAAACTAACTAAAATAAATATTACTACTAATCAAATCTATCTAACTCATTACGAATATATATACGAGATATATTCCCTCGCTAGTATATTTTTCAAATATTAAATGATTAGGAATGTCATGTATTATATGACTAATTCAAACTATAAATAAGTTGCACTAAATAAATGGCGTAAACATTGTACTACATACACAACTTACATGAGG